ATTTTGAAAAAATGGTATTTTGCAAAGAATTTTGAAAATGTGACATTTTTTAAAAGTGGGACTTTAAAAATGGTATTTCTCAAAATTAATTTAATATTATTATTTTAAACTGATGATTATTTTAAAAGTTGAGAATTATTGTTATTGAATGCAAGAAAATTGTTTTGCTTTTGAATTATTCATCGAGGAATCATTTTTCATTTTTACTTGCCTAAGGGAGGGGGTAAAAAACCCAAAAAGTATATATTTCAATAATTATACCCCACAAACAGAATATTATATGGAAAAGAATACACTTTATTATTGTTTTGATAACTTACTTGATTGGTATTAGATTCATCTTACCCACCTCCATTATTAGCTTTTGATCTAAAGAAAATTGAAAACTCATACTACATCAAAAAAAAGTGACTAAGAAATTTTTGGCTCAGTTTTTATACAAATACATTAATATTAAAAACTTATTTAAAGTACTATTTATATTTTTTTGAGTTACTGTATAACTTAAAAAAAAAGAATCAGAAGAATATTTTAAATTATTGACGTTTTGTTTTCTAAAAAGACCATAACTTTTATGAAAATTCAAACGTACCAATGTTATTTATATAAATCATAAATACGATTACAGGCTAAATCTTCTAATTACTTTTTCTATTACAAACCAAAAGATAAACGTAAAAAATGGTTTACTGATGAAAAATAATCAACATCAACCTTTCAAAGAATTTTGATTTGAGATCCCATTTTTGTAACTTTGAATCTTGATATCGAAACCGCTACCACAATTTTTTGTTTTTACGAAAAAATAATAAGAAAAGCACCGAAGAAGTTATATATTTCAGTCAAATATTTCTTTAGATATTTTTGGTGAATTCTCTGTAAGGTTCTCAAAATTTTCATTATTTATCATCTTATGTTTTTTAGTTATCAAATCGACTGTTTGACAAAATATACCCATTTAAGATAGATTGAATTTTGAATTTTCTTTCGGAAGCAAAATACCATCGCATTAATCACCAATAGTTAAAAATTATTTTAATGAAATAAATGGTTGACAAAAAAAAACCGATAGTGTATTGTTACATAAAAATGTTTAAATAAAAAAAGGGGTGATTACAAAAATGCCACTTTTTGTGTGCATATTTGTAAAAATGTCACTTAGGGGTGTCTATTTACAAAAATACCACTAATTGTAGATTTATAAAGCATATATCTTAAAATTCTAAACCCTAAAAAATGTTTTGACACTTAAAACCCCTTAAACACTCAAAACTAAACCATAAATAATATAATTTTTTTTTAAAAAAAAATAGTAATTTTGTAAAGATTTCAAAAGTCTGACATTTTTTAAAATTTCTCTAAAAATAAATCTTAGAGAAGATAACTACATTATTTTTAAAAATGTCACGTTTTGCTGCATTTATAAGATATATCAAATCCGAAAGTGTGGATTTTTGACATCACATTACATGATTCATATATCATAATTAATCAACAAAACACGCTTTTTGCATTAATAGTGATATATATTTTTTAAAAGTATCTATCTAAGTAAGTCAGAGCTCATTTTATAATTTTTGAAGTTAAATGACATAGTAGTTCATATTGTGATTGTCGAAGATAGTTTACATCTTAAGAGTTGAAACAAAAAAAAAAAAAGTTTACATCTTAAGAACAAGAGAAATTGGGTTGTCTAGCAAAGATTTTTAACCAAATTAGCATATTAACAAAAACCTTAACAAACAACCAAGATGCATAAAAAACAAACATTATGGGAATTGCCAGTATGTTTTGTTTTTCTATAAACCCAAGTGAGAAAATGCATAGACGCCAAGAAAAAAGAAGTAAAGAGTTATACGACCTCAAAAAAGTAGTTGGAATTATTGATTTCGTATTTTGGTGGTAACACAGAATTTCCTGTCGGCAAATGCTGACTTCTCACCAAATCTTGCCCTCTCTCTCTAATTATTTGAATACACTCTTTATTATTTTAGAACTTTTCGCACAAATTAAGAAAACATATTAAAAATCTATTTTATCCTTAATTAATACAATATTTTATTTGATATAAGTAATTAATAAGTTTAAAAGTATAGATAAAAAAAAATTGATAATAAATATACATTAAAATTACAGAATAACAAGTATTATAAAGCAAAAAATTAAAGCTAGAATGAGAACTATTTTGAAACAGAGAGAATATATGTTAACTGTTTTTTTTTTAATTTTCGAGTTTATAAAACGTTAAAAGGAGAAAAATTATAATGATATGGTAGAGGATAATTTTTTTTTCTACGGGACAACTAC